TCCCAGCATCAGGGTCTTTTCCAATGAGTCAACTCTTTGCATGAGGTGGCCAAAGTATTGGAGTTTCAGCTTCAACATCAGTCCTTCCAATGAACTCCAGGACTGATCTCCTTTAGGATGGACTGGTTGAATCTCTTTGCAGTCCAAGGGACTCTCAAGAGTCTTTGCCAACACCACAGTTCAAAAGCATCAATTCTTCAGACCTCAGCTTTCTTTATAGTCCAACTGTCACATCCATACATGACTACTGGAAAAACCATAGCCTTGACTAGACAGACCTTTGTTGGCAAAGAAATGTCTCTGCTTTTTAATATGCTGTCTAGGTTGACCATAGCTTTTCTTCCAAGGAGTAAGCGTCTTTTAATTTCATGGCTGTAATCACCATCTGCACTGATTTTGGAGCCCAAAAAGATAAAGTGTGTCACAGTTTCCGTTGTTTCCCCGTCTATTTCCCATGAAGTGATGGGACCAGGTGTCATGATCTTAGTTTTCTGAATGCTGAGTTTTAAGCCAACTTTTTCACTCTCCTCTTTCACTTTCATCAAGAGGCTCTTTAGCTCTCCTTCACTTTCTGCCATAAGGGTGGTGTCATCTGCATATCTGAGTTTATTGATATTTCTCCCAGCTATCTTTATTCCAGCTTGTGCTTCTTCCAGCCCAGCCTTTCTCATGATGCACTCTGCATATAAGTTAAATAAACAGAGTGACAATATACAGCCTTGACGTACTCCTTTCCCTATTTGGAACCAGTGTGTTATTCTGTGTCCAGTTGCTTCTTGACCTGCATACCGATTTCTCAGGAGGCAGGTCAGGTGGTCTGGTATTCCCGTCTCTTTGGGAATTTTCCACAGTTTATTGTGATCCACACAGTCAAAGTCTTTGGCACAGTCAATAAAGCAGGAGTAGAAGTAGGGTCAGCTGTATTCCTCATTACAGAAAGGGAAAACTGGGATAATTCCATTTACAGACACAAAACTTAGGTTTTTATTTAGATTTTAATGTTTTATTCAACTAAAGGAGAAGATATTCGTCATCCATAGTGAATAATAATTATCAGATTACATGATTGAAATACACTAAGTGTGATTAGCATTAATTAAAAATTAACTCCTAAGAGCTTATTTACCTGGAAAAGCTGCCCAGTATACACAATGTATAGGGGATGCTCCTACACCAGATCATGACTTTAAGACCAGGCGAGTACCTATATTGCCTAACTTATAGGACGAAACTGCAGATATTCAAACAAAATGAGAAGATAGAGTAATTATGTTCCAAACAAAAGAAAAAAATAAAATCCCGGGGGGGGGATTGTCATGAAATGGAAATAATTTATTTGATAGTGTTCAAAGTAATCATCATAAGGATGCTCACCAAACTGAGAAGAATTGAGAACTTCAACAAAGAGTTAGAAAATATTTTTAAAAAATCAATCAGAGCTACATAATACAATAAATGAAATGAAAAATAAATCCTTAAAGGAAATCAATAGCAGAATATACAACACAGAAGAATGAATAAGTGATCTGGAAGAGAAACTAGTGAAAATCACCCAATCAGAACAATAAAAAGAAAAAGGAATTTAAAAAATAGTTTAAGGGACCTCTGAGGTAATACCAGGCATACTTATATTCACATTATAGGAGTTCAAAAAGCAGAAGATAGAGAGAAAGGAGCAGAAAACTTATTTGAAGAAACAATGACTGAATTTAAAGCACTGTATTCCAATAAAAGTTTATTTTAAAAAAGGAAGAAACAGTTGCTGAAAACTCCTTTAACATGGGAAAGAAAACAAGCATTCAGGTCCAGGAAGTAAGAAAGTCTCAAACAAGATGAACCCGAAGAGATCTTGACCAAGACATATCACAGTTAAAGTGGTGAAAGTTAGAAAGAAAAATTTAAAGGAAGCAAGAGAAAAATAACTAGTAACATACAAGAGCACTCTCATAAGGCTACCAGCTGTCTTTCAGTACAAAGTTTGCAAGCCAGACAGAAATGGCAGGACATACTTAATGTACTAAAAGGGAAAAAAAAAGAATACTTAGCAAAGTTATCATAAAATAGAAGGAGAGATCAGGAGTTTTCCAGATAAGGAAAAGCTAAAGGAGTTAATCATCACTAACCACTCTTACAACAAATATTAAAGGTTCTTCTTTCAGCATAAAAGGAAAGGCCATAATAAGAAAAAAGAAAATATATGAAAGGAAAAATCTCATTGGTAAAGGAAAATACATCGTAAAGGCAGTGGATTGGCCACTTACAAAACTAAAAAGCAAAAATAGTAAAATTAACTGTAACTAGTAAGTACTTAGCAGCAGCAGCGGCAGCAGTAAGTACTTAAGGTATATTCAAAATAAAAAGATGTAAAATATGCTATTAAAAACAAAAAACAGTGAGGAGAGGAGTAAAACTGTAGGGCTTTTGGAATGCATTCAACCTTGAGCAACTATATGCTTAAACTGCTGTACGTATAGGTCGATTTATATGGACCTCATGATAACCACACACAAAAACCTACAACAAACACACAGAAAACAAGTAACAAAATGATAGTAAGTCCCCACCTTTCAATAATCACTTTAAATGTAAATTAATGAACTAAATGCTCTAATCAAAAGACATAGGGTGACTGAACAGATTTTTTTAAAAGATCCATTTATATGCAGTCTATAAGGGACTTACTTTAAATACAAAGACATATGCAGACTAAAAGTGAAAGAATGGAAAAAGTTATTCACATATGTAATTAAAAGAGAATTAGAGTAGCAACTCATATCAGACAAAATAGACTTTAAAACAGGGACTGTAGCAAAGGACAAAGAATAGCATTACATAATGATAAAGAGGTCAATCTGAAAAAAGGATGTGATGTTCATAAATACTAACTCTCCCAATACAGGAGCATCTGAATATATAAAGCAAAGAAATATTAATGGATATAAAGGGAAAAGTTAAGAGTAATGCAATAATAGTGTTTGTGTGTGCTTAGTCACTCAGTAGTGTCTGACTCTTTGTGACCCCATGGACTATACCCCAGCAGACTTCTTTGCCCCATGGGGATTCTCCAGGCAAGAATACTGGAGTGGTTGCCATGCCCTCCTCCAGGGGATCTTCCCAACCCAGGGATCGAACCCAGGTCTCCCACATTGTAGATGAATTCTTATTCTTTAGCCACTAGGGAAGCAATAATAGTAGGGAACATTAATATCCCACTTACATCAATCAATTAATCATCCAAAGAGAAGATCAATAAGAAAATATTGACTTTAAGTTACATATTAACCAGATTGTCTTAATAAATATATACAAAATAGTTTACCTAAAAACTGTATAGTAGTTTACATGTTAGGCCACAAAACAAGTCTCAGTAAATTTAAGAGGATTGAAATCACATCAAACATCTTTTCTGACCACAACACTATGAAACTAGAAATAATTATGAAAATAAAACTGGAAAAAACATGAACATGTGAAGATTAAACAACATTCTACTGAACAATTAATGGATCAGCAAAGAAACTAAAGAGGAAATTTTTAAAATGCCTTGAGGCAATAAAAATGGAAATACAATTTTCCAAAATCTATGGAATGTAGAGTATTTTTGCCAACTATAGGCTGTACAACCTAATGTTTGCTACAGTGCAGTGAGATTTTAATGCTATGTGTTTGTACAAAATTTCTCAGAATCAAGGTGCAAAAGTCTTAATTTTCAGAAAAGGAATGTTATAAGCAAAGATCTTTCAGAATGAAGTTATAGGTAAAAAAAATCAGTGTTGTAGCATAAATAATAAAAGGAGTTTTGATAAGCTTTCATCTGGAAAATGAGTTTCCAAATTATAAAAATATGTTTATATATATAGAACTGTAGGGGTCTAAATGTAAAAAAAGAAAGTATATTATTGTATATTTTAAAAAGTGAAATAATCAACAACAACATTAAGAAGTGCATGGTTATACTAACAACAATAGTGTTTTTCTTTATATGGCTTTGCAATCTGTAGAATAGTCCATGGCTATGCTTTTTCTTAGAAATCAGAGTCTGATGTTAGTTCAAAGTGGTTCAATTGGTTCAACTACAACATAATAAAATCAAGTTTCTGCTTCTGCTTTATTCTCCAGCTTTAATGTGTGGCTTTTGTCTTCATGCTGTTTATGCAACTCTGTATATGTCTACCACATTTTAAGTGGATAGAGTATAGGTGAAGTAAAAGAATTTGCTTTAGGACAGCTTGCCCATGGTTCATCCATCTTAGATACAGCCTTGCAAAAAAGTAAGCCATACATCTATCTAGAGAAACATAAAGGGTAAGAGACTCAATATATTATTCAAAAATTTTTAAATGGCTAATTTAAAATATTTCTTGAATATTTTCATATTTGTCTTCTTCTTATAAAATATCTAATTAAAATAAACCTCAAATTCTGCATATATAATATATTTTGGAGAAAAGACGTGAACCAAAGGATTTATGTTACTATTGCGTAATTGTAATGTTGGGACTAGACACATATATTCCATAGTATGTTACAGAATGTTTTAGAAGAAATTAATCGAAAGGAAATGGTAAAAAATAGTTTTAAAGCATTATGTGATTTTCTTTAACCACAAAAATTCAGTATTTATCATAGTAGTGCTTTAAACAAATTTTTAACAATTATGTAAACTTGATTATCAGAATCTTCCCTAGAACTTTCCTTAGTGCTTCCTTGACCTCTTTGTTCCTCAGAGTGTAAATAAGAGGATTAAGCGTGGGGGTCACCACTGTGTAGAAGAGAGAGACAAATTTTCCCTGATCTTCGTATGCACTTTTGGCTGACTGCAGGTACCTGAACATGATGGTTCCGTAGAACATGATGACAACTGTCACATGGGAGGAACAGGTCCCAAAAACTTTCTTTCTCCCAGTAGCTGATTTGATCTTCAAAACTGCTTGGGTAATGTAACCATAGGAGGCGAGGATGAAGGAGATAGGCACAACAAGGAAGAGGATACTAGCCACAAAGAGCTCAGCCTCGTTGAAGGTGGTGTCCACACAAGCCAACTTGATAAGTACAGGGACTTCGCAGATAAAATGATCCACGCGGTGATGCCCACATAAAGGTGGCTGCAGGGTGAGAGTGGACTGTACCAGGGTGGTGGCCACCCCACTAAGCCACGCTAAAGATGTCAGGGCCATGCAGAGATGAGGATGCATCAGGAGAGCATAGTGGAGGGGACGGCAGATGGCCACATAGCGATCATAGGACATCACAGCCAGAAGGACACACTCAGTAGATCCAAGAGCAAGAGAGATGTAGAGCTGAACCATGCAGCCACCATAGGTAATGGTTTTCATGGGATCCTGCAAGTTTACCAGGAGCTGAGGAATAACACTGCTAGTAAAGCAGAGGTCCAGGAAAGAGAGTTGAGAAAGGAAAAAATACATTGGTGTATGAAGTTTTGGTTCCAGATGAGATATCAGAATGATGGTGGTGTTCCCCAAAATGGTTAGTAAATATAAGATCAAGATGACCACAAAGAGAGCTGTCTGTAACTGAGGATAATCAGAAAACCCTAACAGGATAAAATCTGTTGTTTCCCTCATTGGTGCTCTTCACCATCCCCATGTGCAAAGTATGTTCCAGAAAGCTGAGTCATAGCTGAGAAGGATTATATATTACATAAGGTCAGATAAATGACAATGTCATCTCTCCCCAAAGTTATATGTGGTTTTGACAGTGTATATCAATTCAGTTGGAAAATTTAAAAAGTTTGACAGCACTGAATATTAGGGTCTCTGAAACCAGTATGGATAAATTTTGTAAACTCATACATTCATGTACTTTGTGACCCAGCATCTCCGCTCCTAAGATGGTACTGAGGAGTCAGCGTGCAAAAAAGACCTCATAACTTATATCTATTTTCCTATTGTGTGCATTCTAAATAAATAGTGTGTACTCTGTCAATGGTATAGGTGTCTTCTGATGCTCTGCAAGATAGAAAAGAACAGATTTTTTTTTAAATGATCAAGCTATAGTAATTAAAACAGTATTGTATTGGCGCAAAGGTAAACGTGTAGATCGATGGAACAGGATAGAGAACCTAGAGATAAACGCTTGCATATTACCAAGTCATCTTCAACAAAGAGACCAGGAATACACAATGTAGAAAGGGCAGTCTCTTCAATAAGCAGTTTGGGGAAAACTGAATATCCACATGCAAAAGAATAAAATTGAACCCCTAACTTACACCATCTACATAAATCAACTTAGATTAAAGATTTGAATGTATAATCTGAAACTGAAACTCCTAGAAGAAACATGGAGGAAAACCTTGATGGTATTGGTCTTGGTGATGATTTTAAAGATATAAGACCAAACCACAGGCAACAAAAGCAAAAATCTCTGGAAGGGGAGAAAATATATAAAATTATACATATAACATCCAAGATACGTAAGAGATTCAAATGTCTACAACAACAAAAGAGATGACCCAATTAAAAAATTAACAAAGAACTTGAACAGACAACAAGACATGCAAATGTCCAGTAGGCATATGAAAAAGTGTTCAACATCACTAATCATCAGGGTAATGCAAATAAACCCACAATGAGATATCACCTCATACCTATAAGGATGGCTGTTATCAAAAAAAAAAAAAAAACAGATGACAACAAATGTTGGAAAGATTATAGAGAAATTAGAATCCTTGTACAGTATTAGTAGGAATGAAAAACAGAATTAATATTCCTCAAAATATTATAACTATCATACGGTCCAACATTCCCACTTCTGGGTATACACCCAAAAGAATTGAAATTTGGATCTTTAAGTGATAACTTCATTCCTGTGTTTATTGCAGCAGCATTCACAACAGCCAACCTAAGTGTCCATCTAATAATGGTCAAATAAAGAAAGATATGATATATTATTCAACTTTAACTAATGGAGTATCATTAGCATATTGATAAAATATTATGAATAAATAAAGAAGATACAGCATATTCCGTGCATGCGTGCTAAGTCCTTTCCGTTGTGTCTGACTCTGTGCGACCCTATGGACTGTAGCCTGCCAGGCTCCTCTGTCCTTGGGAATTCTCCAGGCAAGAATGCTGGAGGGGTTGCCACGCCCTCCTCCAGGGGAGGGTCCTGTGTGTCTTACACCTCCTGCACTGGCAGGCAGATTCTTTACCACTAGTGCCACCTAGGAAGCCCCTTATGGTGTTTTAGTCAACTTTAATTAATGGAGTATTATTAGAATATTGATGAAATATTATTGAGCCTTAAAAAGGAAACAAGTCTTACAATGTGCAACAACATGGATGTACTTTGAGGACAGTATTCTATGTAAAATAGGTCAGACACAAATGGACAAACACCCCTCTTATATGTAACATTTAAAACAGTCAGCCGTATAGAAACATAAAATGGTGATGGCCAGAGGATGGGAGGAGGAGGAAACAGGGAGGTGCTCAATGGTTAAAAAATTGCAGCTATACAATATAAGTTCTAAAGAGCTGCTGTCCAACATATTGCTTATAATTAACAGTATTATATCATGTACTTAACATTTGGTACCAGGGTAAATCGTGTTATGTGTCCCTACCACACAATCAGACAAAAAGCAAAAGAACACAAAGAAACTTTCAGAGAAGACGTATAAATGTATTACCTAGATTGTGGTGACTGTATCATGGATCCACACATATGTCCAGACACATGAACTTATATATGTTAAATAAATTGTGAATTTACTTATATATCAGTTCTACCTCAATAAAGCTGTAAAAAAGAAGCACCATCATCTGTTTTAGGAAATTAATTTTATTATCATTTCCATCCAACCAAATGTACCCCCTTTATATTTATGTCTCTCTAGTCACATGAAGGGGAAACTCAGTTACTCAGTTAATTTCAACTAGAGAAAAAAGCAGGTTTATTTAAGCAACTTTCAATAAAGTGAGAATAAGGCCATTTTTCATCACCCCAAAAGAGTGGAAATTAGTTGTAACATTATGTAATTTTTAAATATACCAGATGAGACTGGTATTAATTAAAAATCAACTACTCAGAGCTATATGCTCAGTCAAAAGAGCATATGTATTTAGTATTTAAGGCAACATATGAATCTATTTCTTATGATCAACCAGTTAATTCTATACTCTTACCTTTCTTTTTCTTTCCCTTAGTGTTTGTTTATGTGCTTTTTGAAAAATTGCTCATTCTCTTTTTTTCAGAGACACAGGATCCTCCAGGCTCCAAAAAGTCTCTAGGAAATGAAATGCTAGCCATGATTTATTTCTTTTTCCTATAATCATGTGCATATTTGTTCTTGACTCAAAGTGTGAGTGCAAAATGTAATTCATATTTTGAAGGCAAGTTATTAAGGGTAAATAAAACATTCTTTATTATCCTTATGGTAGTAAGCATACTTTACTACCATACACTCCAAAAAAAACTTTGTTTTTAACTATCTGGGAAACTTGATCATGGATAAATATATTTTTGCATTTGACTAAGTGGTATATGTATCTACTCACAACAGTTTGTGAGATTCATGAGGCCAGGAGTCATATAAAATATGACTTTTCTGTCTCTAACCCTTAGAGTGTTCAGCACAAAGTAGCCTTTCAAAAATTATTCAGCAGTTCACTCATATTATATCCACCGTATTATACCTCTTTCTTTTTCCCTAGGGAAACTAACATATCTTTAGTCAACTAGTAGATAGTAGCTATCACTACCAAATGAATGATCAGAACTTACCAACCTTCCCTCAAATTAGAGATGTCTCAAACATATATGGCTCTGCTATCTATTTGAACATGGCTTTATCGAAAGCATGAGGCTGGGAAAGTGGATTGTAATGTCATAAAGTGAAAAGTGAAGTCGCTTAGTCGTGTCTGACTCTTAGCGACCCCATGGACTGTAGCCCACCAGGCTCCTCCGTCCATGGGCTTTTCCAGGCAAGAACACTGGAGTGGGTTGCCATTTCCTTCTCCAATGCATGAAAGTGAAAAGTGAAGGTGAAGTTGCTCAGTCGTGTCTGACTCTTAGCAACCCAATGGACTGCAGCCTACCAGACTCCTCCATCCATGGGATTTTCCAGGCAAGAGTCCTGGAGTGGGTTGCCATTGTCTTCTCTGTGTAATGTCATAACTAGGGATCAAATCCACACATGGCCCTCTTCTTGATTTTTATGAACTCTATCCCAGTCTTGTAACTACAAAATTGAAGCACTCTAACATACCTGTTTCATCTTTTTCTCATCTTTTCTCAGTAGGAAATACCATAAACTTTATGTTTAATACTAAAGCAAATGATCCCTTTTCAAATATTTTTATTTTTTTTTATTTTTTTTTCCTTTTCAAATATTTTAGTAGATATTATGCAGTATTAACTATTATTAGTTCTCTATCACTTCAGATCAGAGACCTGCAAAATGTCTACCTTCCACTTCACTGGCAATATTCCAATTCATTGACTTTTTAGTTGCATAGTAAACAATTACTACTTCAGTTTACATTTTCTTTCATCTGAACCTTTAAAAACTTCACAATACACATGAGTGAGTGGACTTAGAGGGAACAGCAGCAGTGTCCAAACACCTTCCAAATGTACATTGTTGTTCACAGGAAGCAATTAATTCCAATTATAGATATCACTGACTTGAACTCATTAAGTAACAGTATTTTTCTGAGCAAGTAAAATATCTTTATTGCTCATTAAGAACACATTGTGCATTACTAAACATGAAAGTTTCAAAACAAGTTGTGAAAAACATTTTTAAGATGTAAATATTGACCATGAATGCAGTATTTCCACTTCTCTCTTTAAAACTAGTAGCTTAAACACAAATGGCAGAAAATAGAAAGTGAATACTATTCTAAGCAGGAACAGTTCTAAAAGCTATGGAATGCTTATAAGCCTATATTATATATTCCACATATTATGTGCCTGATATGTTAAAATTTAACAAAATCACATGAACAGAGAGTGCAACTCTCTTCACTAAGCACCATTCTATATAGGTCTCATCTTGGACAAAGTATAAAATATAGAGGGCCATGAAAACATATATCGTACTGAAAGTATAGCCTGTATAAGGGATGGCTCCATAGCTGGGAAGATTAGCTAGTTTCATAATTGAGTGACAGGGTCAAATATCAAGTTGAGCTGGGCATGTTCCAGAGTAGAGATTTCATTAAGGGAAGAAATAACTGAAAACTATATATCTTGAGTGAACATTTAAGATGCCCTCTGTACTTTCCCATCAAGTGATTGAAGGACAGAACACAAATTCTAAATTACCAACATTTAATTCTCCCTCTCATATTCTAAAAATACCACTGAAATAGCACTGGGGGCTGGGGTGGCAAGATGGAAAATACAAGACAAAATGATTCTGCTGTATTTGGGAAAAGACAAGTCTAGATCACTGTATACATCAAAAGATGATGAATATGTAAGAAGTATAAAACATGGAACCTAGTGTTTGAAAGTGAAAGTTATTCAGTCGAGTTGGACTCTTTGCGACCCTGTGAACTCTGCTGCTGCTGCTGCTAAATCGCTTCAGTCATGTCCAACTCTGTGCGACCCCATAGACAGCAGCCCACCAGGCTCCTCTGTTCCTGGGATTCTCCAGGCAAGAATACTGGAGTGGGTTGCCATTTCCTTCTCTACCATGAATTCTACAGTCCATGAAATTCTCCAGGCCAGAATACTGGATTGGGTAGCTGTTCCCTTCTCCAGGGGATCTCCCCAACTCAGGGATCAAACCCAGGTCTCCCACATTGCAGGATGATTCTTTACCAATTGAGCCACCAGGTAAGCCCAAGAATACTGGAGTGGGTAGCCTGTCCCTTCACCAGCGCATCTTCTGGACCCAGGAATAGACTGGGATCTCCTGCATTGCAGGTGCCTTTCTTTACCAGCTGAGCTACCAGGGAAGCCTAAGATTTATGTTTTTCAAAATAAAATGCAACAACAACAACAAAAATCAAAGACAAAGAAAAACAATGAAGTAAAGGTCTCTAAGAGACAAAAGTTACATGAAGAACATATATACTTGAAGAAGAATTTCTCCAAGAAATAAGGTAAATGTTTGGGAGGTAAATGTTTGGGAAATAAAATGTACTCCTCCTCACTCTCTAAGAATTTAAGACAACCTGTAAAAGAGGGACTAGCTGAATCATGTGAAAAACATCAGGAAAATGTATAATGGTTGCTGCCTAAATTATATTTCACAAAGAAATTTTCATACAAAACAGCAAATGGAGGCTAGATTGTAAACAATTTTTATGCTTTATTATAAAACTGCTGATCATCTGTTGTGCAAAATACCATCATTAAAACTTTTAATTAAGGTGGAAATATACTTGTAAACAAAGACACATTTCTGATTCCCAGGTGGTGCAGTGGTAAAGAATCCGCCTGCCAATTCAGGAGACATAGGAGATGTGGGTTCAATCCCTGGTTTGGGTAGATCCCCTGGAGTAGAATACTGGCAACCCACTCCAGTATTCTTACCTGAAAAATTCCATGGACAAAGGAGCCTGTCAGTCTACAGTACATGGGGTCACAAAGAATAGGGCATGACTGAGCATGCAAGCAATATCATGTGAAGAACCAGGCTGTGTAATTGGGACTAAATAAATCATGCTAATAATCATTCCTTCCACCAATACCTAAGGAGTATCTCTCAAGTTTCAGCCAGACATCCCCTCCAGCTTCCCATGCAAATGTTGACTGTCTGCTCTGCAGTTATGTTTCTTCTTTCTGTGCAACCCACTCTTCCTTGGGCTCCCCACATGCTATGGTATGGGCCTTAAATCATTGTATGAAACTAACTTTTGGATTTGATAGCTTCCTCCTAACATGGGCACTCTTGGTCCCTTTGTTTTGAACCAATCCACCGTGACAAGGGACATCCCATGGGACAGTTCTCTAAACCCTTGAAGATAATGCGCTCTTGTATTCCAACAGATGCTACCACCTTTAAGACCACTGATTATCTGTGCTACCCTCAGAAAATGACATAGTCAGTGTTGTCTTGAATTGTCACCCAATCAATGTTGTTACCTGCAGCCCAACCCATCTGCCTTACACAACCATCTACAGGGTATTTTCATCCTCAAGAAATGAGATATTCATAATTCATGTTGTCTTGGGTGTACCTCCAGGAGAACTCTGGATGTTTTCATCCAGAAGTTTTCTATACTTCAGTTTTCATATCACAGAGAGTCTATCCTGACTATAACATAAGCATTGAGGGAGTTCCTCCTCTTTGTGCTGGACATACATGTACCTGGAGCTCCTCCATCCCTCAAGAACCTGCTATCTGCTGAGACTTCATCTCTAGTGTATATCCCCAATTTGTTTCTCTTGATTGAGTCATTAGAAATACCACCTGTATTAACAAATGTTTTAAACTCTCATATTGTGCTTCTCTAACACTGAAAGTTTTTTCTCTTTGAAAGTAGTCTGGCATCCATTATTTCACTTTGTGATTATAGGGTGTGAGTTCAAATTTTGTCCTACTTTTTAGCCCATGAACTATTATTCTCCTTAAAATACTTTCCAGTATATAAAAGTTGCTATGACTCATTCAATCTTCTACTCAGTTTTGGTAAACTCTTTTTACATTTCTAAAATCCAACAACAAAAAACAAAAAAATTAAATTTTATATGTAAATATACTAAACAAGACGTTCTCATCCACATAGGATAGGGATAACTCTAGGCTAAACATCACAAATACTGTCCACTAACTAAAATACTTTTTAAAAATTGGGTTCAAATGTCCTTTCAATAGAAAGAAGAGAAATGGGATGTATCATGAGAGAGGGCAGTATTTTGATATAAAAAACAAGCATTTTAATTGTCTATGGGGTCAATCCAGAGGAAATTAGGAGACTGAGATTGCTGTTAAATAAAGGGGCAGCAGGGTGGTAAGTGAAGAAATGAGGCACATATTAATCTTTTAGAAATGAATGTCTGGAAATGTATTTGTACTTACAAGTAATATCAGTTGGTTAAGCAGATAATGTGTATACTGACTTAATTCCCTTTTAGGTCAATGAGATTGTCTCTAGACTTTGATTAGTTGCTTCACAAATGTGTATCAAGTGCAAAAATATTTGGGTCAAAGGTCATTTTTTTTCATTTTGAAGAATATAAAAAGATCAGGAATGATCAATTTTTAACTCATTTTTTGCTGTCTTTGAGCAGAGGTGATATTGAGCATCAAAAAAAAAGAAGAAGAAAGGAAGGAAAGGAGCCAGGGAGGAAGGAAGAAGTCCAGTCAATTTTATGAGGAAAAATGTTTTTGAAATAGTCAAATACAACATGAAAGTACAATTAGAAATCCAGAGACTTCTCAATTCTGAAAAGAAAGTGAAAGTGTTAGTTGCTAAATCTTGTCTGACTCTGTGATCTCATGGACTGTAGCCCACCAGGCCCTCCTCTGCCACGGAATTCTCCAGGCAAGAATACTGGAGTGAATTCCCTGCTGTAGGGGATCTTGCCAACCCAGGGAGTGAACCCAGGTCTCCTGCATTGCAGGCAGATTCTTTACCATCTGAGCCAGATGAGTTTCTTTGTTTTCATAGCTTGCTTTACATGCAGTAAAACATACAACCAGACTATGATGACCACAGCAGGTACCATCTGTCAACATACCTGTTTCAGGCTGAGAGCATGCATTCTAGCTTCAGGAGTTACTTCTTTGTCCACAGTATTTCCAGGTGCCTGTGTCTTGAGAGAAAATATAAAGGTATTCCTGATTAAGGTCCCAGAAACTCAGGAACTGTTCAAGACAGTGCTAGTTAGGAACCAAATGTGAGGTTCCGAGAAAAGGAAGCATTCAGGCTGTTGTAAAGTCCTGTCACTGAGTACCAACCAACTAAACAAATGTCAGTATGCCCACAAAGATAATACCTAATCTTTCTTCCTAACCTGGTAGAGTATGCAAGAATACTGAAACTATCTTTGGGAGTTTACTATACGCATGAGTTTTGACCCTCAGTTATGAGTAAGAAATATCACAATGGCTAGAAAGCTACTTCTCTGGAACTGAATCTCTCTGCAACAGCTCAGAAAGATGTTTCTCCTTCTCATGCAGTCTGTGGTACAATATGGAAATGCCAGTTGCAAATAATGAAAAAGTAAATAGTTTCTAAACTAGATGCTGGGGTTTGCATAGAAACATGCCAGGAGAAAATGAGAGATCCCTGCTGATTCCAATTCTGAAAAGAATGAACTTGAAAGGGTAAAACCCCAGTGATTTATTTCCTCCTTTAGGAGTTGGTTTATACTAGGGGAAAAAAAAAAAAAGACTGTTAATATGGCCTCAGAATGTCCCCAGAAGGATAAGAAAATTACCATTTTCCCTCTATGGAAAATGTGTTGCACATTAAAATGTCCATAACAGAAGATCCCAGGATATGATCATGAAAAAAATGCCCTGTGGTCATCATTTGT